GCCCCGTGTCCAACTGATATACACCCGCTGGAAGTAGCTCTCTGCTGCCTACCTCTCGGTCAGCTGATAAAATACCGAGCCAGGAGAACGGCTTATAGACTTAGATGTCAGGGGGAATGGAAAGATACCGGTTTAGGACACACTAGACTGGGCCTTTCTCAGAAGTATCCCTTCATGTTAAAACAGGATAGAATTCCAAGAAAACATCAGTTGGGGAAGAAATTTAAAGTTTTAATACCAACTAGAGACGATTGGAACAAGTCTAAATTACTAGCTGATCCAAAAGTGAATCTTTGGTTCACAGACGGATCGGGTGCAAATGGTCGGTATGGGGTAGGAATCTATGGGCCGAAAAGAAACCATAGAGAAAGCATACCTCTGGGCGGGCTGGCCACGGTCTTTCAAGCCGAGGTGATGGCCATCCTGAGGTATGCGGAAACCCTTGCTGTAAACGATAGTGCAAACCAGCACTTTTACATATGCTCTGATAGCAGAGCGGCCATACATGCCCTTGCAAAGACCACTACAGAATCGGCTGTAGTTTGGGACTGCATGCAGGCATTAGCTAGACTGGGGGAATCTAACAAGATAACTCTAGTATGGGTCCCAGGACATCAGGGATTTCTCGGGAACGAGATAGCCGACGAGTTGGCCAAGCTGGGGATCCAAATGGACCCAGCTACGCAGATCGTTGGAGTACCTTTTGTAACGGGAATCAACATCATCAGAGGATGGCTTGAGCGGGAGCACGTTGGCTCCTGGAGAGCGGAGGGGGGGTGCCGGACAGCTAAACAGCTAATGGAGCAACCATCGCCGGGGAGAGCCAACGAGCTCCTGGCCATGAACAGACTAAGGCTGAAGGTGGGATTGGGTCTTCTCACGGGACACATCACACTGAGGAGCCATCTAAACAAACTTGGGCTTACGGAACAAAGCGACTGCCGCCTATGTGGTGAGGAGAGAGAGGACAGCGCCCACATTTTATGTCGGTGTCCTGTACTCATATGTAAAAGATATAGATCCTGGGGCTGCATGTTCATGGAGCCTGAGGATCTAAACGAAAAAAGGATTAGCAGCTTGATTAACTTGGCGTCAGATACTAGGCTGGGCTTATTAGCGCAATCCTAAAAAAATAGCAGAAGGTCACAATGGAACTTTTAGATCTAGGTGATGCAAGGGCATCAAAGTGCCCACCTGCTCCACTACTACTACTACTATTACTATTGCTGAAAAATAAAAAATAAAACTAAAATAAAAAATAAAACTGACACTTGTTGGATGGTGCAAATAAATATAGCATAAATATAGACCAAAAAAATGCAAAAAATAAATAAATGAAGGATGTACAAGGATCTACTGTTTTGATGCAATAAATTTTAATGTAATAAAACAAAAGTAAAACAATAGCAGTTTACAATGTACATTAAACAATAGATAAAAAAGAAAGAAAAAATACTTTTTATTCTTTAGTCACTGTCATCGTCACTATCACAAGATTCACTTTCACTACAACTACTTAAGAAATCAGAATCGATACATTTAATCATTTTCATAACCTCTAATGGCAAAATGTTACTTTCCTTAGGTTGTGATGGTCGTAAGCTGCTAATTACTGGGTCGGACGATATGAGCAGCATGTGTATCATGTCCTCGAGTGTCTGCTGCCGAGTGAACTTCCGCGAAAAGAATTCTCTATATTGCTTTAAGTCTTTATTCCGTGATTCTTGTACTTCTTCGGACATTAGTCCAATCGGTAAAATTGATTTATTAATTAGATCTGTAGGATTAAGTTTTATGTTTCATTAAGTCATCATTAAGTTATCATTAAGTCTTGTAAAGTTCATATAGCGCGGGGAAACGGCGACACTGCGGCAGCAGTGGCGCTAGAAAAACTCGAGAGTTCGGGTAGGCTCGTGAGGGAGAGTTCCGATTAACCACGGTACGATTGGACACAACCAACCGATGAAAAGAATTATCTAGTGAATTACTAGGTCGAACCAATCATTACAATCTGTGTCCAATCGTATCGTGGTCAATCGGGTCCCACCCGGCTCGTGAGGAGGACGAAGCGCTAGTGTAGAATAGGGAGAGCGAGCGCTAGTGGAGTGTAGGGAGAGCGAGCGCTAGAGTGGTAGAGAGCGGAGCGGAGGAAGGTGCGTACTCGCAGCAGAGCAAAAATAAAACATTTCCTTTCTTTTCAACGAATCTATTTCGGGAGGTGTTCTGGGGAACCTAACTCATCCTACGATTACATCCTTACAGATCTGCGCCATGAATTAATATTTTATGCAAACTCTGTGGCATGTAATACCAAGGATATAAGCTGACGTAATCTTTGCAGTATTTATACAATAAGATTTAAATAGTATGCAATCTATTTCGAAGCCACAGGAAATAGTAATTAATATGAAACTCATTCGTCTTATAAATTTTTCACTCACTCCTGTGATTTCAGAAGCCAATTCAGGATTTTTGAAAAAACGTCTGGCCGTATTGCCGTCGTTGGTCGTTCCAAAACCGGGCTTAGAAATATCAACAAAAAAACCCATATGTCGACGAAATTTTTCTTGTATTTCCTTCTTCCTTGTTTCCACTTTTTTTTTAGATTCTTCCCTGATTTGCCATTTACATATTTCTAATCTATAGGCGATGTGTAAAATGCACTCGAACGTTTTTATCCATGCATGAAGACTTAAAATACCATATTCTAAATTATCTTCCTTAACTAATCTTTCATGACATCTGTATCATTCATTTGCTTTGGAGAAGTCCTACAAATATGATAGTTTTGGCCGGGTGTATCGGCTAGCCAGCTACAAATTTTACCATCAATTATTGTTAAAAAAAATGATGAATAACATAATATTAGATTCTTATGAAATTCTGTAATTACTGGAGAGAGTTCATCTATTTGTCTTTTAATGTTTTCAATTTCATCTTTAACAAATTCCTTTTTTCCTTATGAAAAATTATTTTTACTGGTCGACAGTATTTTGTTGATGAAGTAGATTCGTTCTGCCAAACTGTAAATTCCTGCTTGTTTTGATGTACTTTAGCTACAATTCGTAATAGCACTATAGAAGTTGAAAACAAAAATGAATCATCATTTTCTTCATATTCAAAAACCTGCTTATAGCAGCTTTGTCCCGCTGCACCATCGCAACTCCATTTGAAATAAATGTTTATTTTTGTGATAGTATTACCGCCATCAGTGATGTGTTCAAATACATCATTTTGAACGTAGTCTTCAGACTGTATGTTCCACTAACGATTGGAGCTTGACTTCGACTGAAATTTCACTAATTGTTATGTCATTTGGATAACATTGTTTTTTCGCAAGCAACAAAGAATTATAATTTGGGTAAATGTTTGCATTATGAGATTTACTCATTTGTTGAACAGCAATGTACTGTTTCTTCGTCATTTTTGTGCTTATATACAAAGCGAGAGCCTTTTTGGCTGTAATTTTTGTGGGTAGTTGCTGTGAAGTGGAACATATTTTTTTAATTTTTGTGGCCCTTTTAAGAGAAAAACTGGATACTTGCTTAACTATTGGGTGTACAACTTAGTTCGGTCCGTTTTCAAAAGATGGCTCTAGGTGCTATAAATGGTTGACGGCGACAGCTGATTTTTGCTGTATCGTGAAGTGTCAATATCTATTAACCAAATATTGTTTACAAGCCTTTGAGTTTTGCACAACAAGTTTAATTTTTACTGCGTTGAAAATGTCGAGTTTCGTTCCAAATAAGCACCATTTGCGGGAAGTTTTGATTTTCTGTTTCAATTGGAAGAAAAGTGCAGCTGAAGCGCATCGAAAGTTTATGGTGAATCTGCACCGTCGGATAAATCTTGCAGAGAATGGTTTCGACGATTTTAAAGTGGTGATTTTAGTGTTGAAGACAAAGAGCGTTCGGGTCAACCGAAAAAGTTTGAAGATGAAGAATTAGAAACATTACTCGATCAAGATTCGTGTCAAACGCAAAAAGAGCTCGCAAGAACATTGGAAGTTACTCAACAAGCTATTTCGAAACGACTCAAAGCCGCGGGATACATCCAAAAGCAAGGAAATTGGGTCCCATACGAATTGAAACCGAGAGATATCGAACGACGATTTTGCATGTCCGAAATGTTGCTTGAACGGTACAAAAAGAAGTCTTTTCTGCATCGAATCATTACCGGGGACGAAAAATGGATTCACTACGACAACCCGAAACGCAAAAAATCGTATGTAAAGCCCGGCCAACCGGGAACATCAACGCCGAAGCCGAATATCCATGATGCCAAGGTAATGCTCTGTATTTGGTGGGATCAGAAGGGTGTGATCCACTATGAGCTGCTAAAACCTGGTCAAACCATCACGGGAGACTTCTACAGGCGACAATTGATCCGTTTAAAGCGAGCTATAGCCGAAAAACGTCCAGAATATGCGACCAGACACGAGTCCATAATCTTTCACCATGACAACGCTCGGCCTCATGTTGCTGTTCCGGTTAAAAACTATTTGGAAAATAGCGGATGGGAAGTTCTGGCTCACCCGCCTTATAGCCTAGACCTTGCCCCTTCCGACTACCATTTGTTTCGATCGATGCAGAACGCTTTGACTGGAATACACTTCACTTCAGAACAGGGTATCAAAAATTGGCTCGATTCATTCTTAGCTTCAAAAAATGAACGCTTCTTCCGCGACGGAATCCATAAATTGCCAGAAAGATGGGAAAAAGTAGTGGCTAGCGATGGACAATACTTTCAATAATGTATTAATTCATTTTATCATTCAAATAAATGCGTTTTTCAAGCAAAAAAACGGACCAAATTAAGTTGTACACCCAATATGTAAGCTGCATCTCTTTTACCACTTCGTCTAAGGCTCATTTTTTATGCAAAAGTCAGTTCATCTTCTGTTAACATCTGCAGAAGCGGACTAATTTTTCTTCGTTTGACTGAATCACTACAGCTAGCGAATGATTTTTCTGGTCTCTCAGATCATGACAGAGTCTCTTTAGATGAAAGTTCTTTGAAAACAATCTTCTCACTGAGCCATTTTTAGTTTGTAGAGACAAATAAATTGTTACTACGATGGCATTTTAACATTAATTGACTGCAAAAATTTCTAATCGATTTCTTAATTAAATATTTGGAATTTTCCTTATGGTCCAAGAAGTCACTTTTCTGCATCAAAAAGTTTAGAACTGCGTCAGTTTTTTTATTAATATTTAGTTCATTCCGCCAAACGCAAAATAACACTTCTCGTTGCACTCTGTTTAGCAAGCTTAAAAATGATCACAAAATTTAAAGTTGCAAATAGTTGCAAATAGTTGCAGCTAAATTTAAAATTAAATGATTATTAAAAAGTAATTTAATAATTTTAATGCAACTAACTCGTCCAATCCACGCCAATCCCGAGATTTTTACTTTATCAAACTTAACAAAATATTAAAAGAAATAGCCTTTATACACATTCAAAAAAATTTTATTATTTTTAGACTATAAATTGTTTACTTACTTATATTTGTAAGATCCATAACAAGAATAGAAAGAAAGCACTATTCAGCATGAGCTCACTGATTAAACTGAAGGCAAGAGCGAGCGATGAGCGCGAGCGCGATGGGCGCGAGCGTGACAAGACTTACAGAATCGTGCTCATTACGACCTTACCAACTACTCCCCATTCGATTTTTAAATTAATTATTCTTAGATTTCATATTCTCAGGTATTCAGGCTCATTTTTATGCAACAAAAAAGTTTAAAACATCCAGTCGAATTTTTGACTTTCGCTCGCTCAGATTAGCAAAAGTGACCACTATGCGGCGCGGCGAATACTTCAAAGCTTGAATGAACGGAATCCCTTCCAGTGCTAATAATATCCTTTTCTACATGCTGTCGCGTCTGCAATTTAGCATTACTGAACACTTTGACCAATGGAGTTAACAATTTGACTTTCAATTTGTAGTTTTTGCAAGTGCTATTTGCTCAATGACTGCGTTGATCATTGTCAATGTGTCTAAAATTCTTACTTTTTGTTTATAAAGATTACCTTATAAAGATTATCTATGTTTAGAAAATAATTCACTTGAAACGTTTGTTTTTTTGGTAACATCATTTATTTGAATAGTTCCCGTGTGGAGTTGCTAGTTCCCCATCGGGCATCTGTTCAGTTGGCGATTGAGGAATGGACCGGTGTCCGATTCATCCTTAGCTGGAAAGTACCGGGGAAATAAAGTATCCAGAGTGGACCAAAACTAGCAAATCGAGCAATGGATAAAACTTTAACGGATATGATAACTCCAGGTGGCAGTCCGGGAAAATCGGAAAATCCACCCTCTTCGGATGCAAACCTCGCAGATTCTGAGGGAGGTCAACAATTGTACACGAAAGATATTACAGATGTCTCCAAAATTATTTCGGCACAACATAACCACGAGTTCACGTCAAAAGAAACTAACTCCTATGTCGTAAGTACACCAAACGTGTTGGCCTCACTCAGAAATCAAAATATCCTAACTAAAGAGATAGATACAATGCGCGAATAGAATCTATTTAGCAGAACTGGACAATATAAGGATAAGGACATATTATTGTCTCTCTTATGAAATGATAAAAAAAGTGATAAAAATGATAAAAACACCAAACGAAACTCTTAGTTATATGTAAGTTATAAGGTAACAAAAGACTATCAGTGCAAATATGCGCTGATGGTGAAAGAAATGAATTGGCTCCTACAGAACTCGAATGAGATTCTGATAAGCATGTCTATGATAAAGTACGAGACTAAAGTGAAGCAATGGATGCTTCCGCCCCCTCTAAATTGAACGTGTTCATAGTCACTCACCACTGCGTCCATAAGAGCTTGACCAAAAGCGGGACGCAGAGGTAGCCTAGTTGTTTCTTTAAATAGACAAGGGAATCGTTTGAAGTCCGCGACTGACTGACGAGAGGACGGAGCCTTCCGTAAGGAATGCCGCCGGCCCTCTTCTCTGAAAGGCTTCCAACTTTAAATGACCCCGCGTTTGATACAGCTGGTGGAACTTGAACGCTTAATACAGTCAGCGGTATGTTAAGGCGCAAGAGCACAAAGGGAGTCTACGCTATCATGCTATAAAGTCATATGAGACCCTAGATCACCAGATCGTGGAAGATAATAAATGTTTACGATAATTCGATTTCCAATTAGTACAAGTTAGTTTCATTAGGGCCGAAATATATGATAGACATAACCATCTAGTATCTTCATGATTCATAACTCAATCCTGTCCGATAAATCGAGTAAAGTAGAGCAGAGTAGAATTAGGGTAGCGTAGCTGATAGCATATGTATTAGGTGTACAACTTTGCTTCCGCCGTTTTTTTCCGAAATTCGAGGCTTTATTGTAAAAAACTGATTATACATTTATGATTCAAAGTATTGTCCATCGCTGGCCATTATTTTCTCCCATCTTTCGGGCAGCGTACGAATCCCGCGTCGAAAAAACTGGTCATCTTTTGAGGTGACCCACGAATCGATCCAATTTTTTACTTCTTCATAAGACCGGAAGTGCTGGTCAGCCAGGCCGTGTGCTATTGATCGAAACAAGTGATAGTCAGAGAGAGCAACGTCTGGAGAATACGGCGGGTAGGGTAGGACTTCCCATTTCAACGTTTCCAAGTATGTCTTGA